CACTGAATGTTGATATAGGAATGGAGTGCCTAAGATCACATCATAGTCATGAATGTTCATGATGTCAAATCGTTTCTTACAATCAATGTCCTCGTACTTGAAGTCTACAATTGCTTTGAGTTGGACGTTCACTCTAGATCCTGTGACTGCAAGTTGTACTGGAAGGACCGTAGATAGTTTCGTACTCAGGATCTTCAGTTGGTCCACACAAGTGGTGGATATAAAGTCAGCTAGTGATCTGGAGTCCACTAACGTTCTACAGATACTACCATTAATGTGGGTTTTTATAACCATCCCTTTCGGTAGGATTTGCATGATGTCTTTAGGGATGGCTGTTGTACGCTCCAGGCTATTGGTCAGTTTCGTGCCCTCCTTTCGGAGTTTATCCCCTCTAGACTTGGCAACGTTGGCTTTGATATAAGCCGTTCTAGGAATTGAAGCGCTAGCGCTTAAGGCATATATGTGTTGAGTGAGCTCATCTTCAATCATGTCCTCTAGGTTTCTGATGTTTACTGCATGAGCACTTACACTAGGATTCTCTTTAGACACAGGGCAGTCTTTCACCAGGTGGCCTGACTGTTTACAGTTGAAGCATAAGCCTTTAGCCCGTAGCTCCTCGCTTTCTTCCTTGGACAGTCTAGTCCATGAAGATCTGGGTTATGCCCTCCATTCTTTTTGTCGGGATCCTTTCCTTTCTTATCATCAATCTGTTTGTCAGCTCTATCCTGATTTTCGCTGTGTTTCTTTTGTCCTTTCACGCTTTCAGGAACCTGCTTACCCTTCTCGCGCTCATTCTGGCGATTCTGGGTTCGTTTACGACTTTCCTCATATTTGACCATCTTCTTTGAACGCTCTGCATTCATGGTGATAACCTTTAACTCATCTATTGAACCAGTGTCAGGACTAAACCCATAGTCCAACAGTTTGATACGGTAATATTGGTCTAGGCCATTGAACACCCTTTGTACAAATTGACGATCCGTAATGTCATCTATCCTTTTTCTAATGCGATCCATGTCCCGTACGTATTCCTGGACAGTTGAGTTCCGTTGTGTCCAACGTTCAAAACGGTCACGTTGTATCTGTCTGAATTCTGGGGGAAAGCACTCGTCAAATAGTGCTTTAACAGCTGTGGTCAAGTTCCAGTCTTGTGGTCTTAATGCAATGGCCGATACATACCAAGATGCGGCTTTGCCACTTAGCATGTTTTGAAGATGCTTCACTTCATCCCTTTTCCGAACTTTGTTCAACTCAAAGTAGGTCTTCATTCCAGCAAACCAGACTTCGAATTTATTGTAGTTTGCGTCACCATTGTATGGTTCTGGACCTTTGACTTTTACTTGCGAACTCGTATGTTTTTCCTTTTTGAGTAAAGTTAATAGGAGACTGAGCTCGTTCCTTGAGCCCATCCTGTTCAGTTTCCCTAGTTTTAGTAGGTCCGAGTCATCAGTGTGGATGGTACTAGTTCTCTTTGATGAATTTGATGATGAGGAGCCGTCATTGCTGCTGTCATCGGAAGGGTCCAACGGAGTCAAGTGTTTCGCTAGGAATGATGACAGAGGTACAAACATTGAAGCTTTGGGTACCTTCATTGTCACATGGTTCTGTACCATAGATTCAGTCTTGGATTTCCTTTCCTGCTCCTTGGGTGTCATTGATTCCCATCTCGCAGCTTTATGTCTAGCTAGCCTACGAGATGCCAATGCATTAACAGTGGTCTCTGTGCTAGATCTCTCTTGTAGAATCCTCCGGGTCTGTATCTTCAGTTCATCAGACTCGCTATTGTTATCCAATTCTGTACTACTTTGTGGTCTGGCAATCAGGGTGGGTGATACTGAAACAGTTTCATGCTCTTTACCCTTCTTGGTAGAGGTGGAAGCTTCTGTGGCTTTAGTCTTTGTAGCTGAATACAGTTGTGCGCCACCTTCATCTGAAAGTGTATCTGTCCATAGGTCCAGCATTTGTGGTTTAGATTCATGCTTCACAACAAGTTCTCTGAAACATAAGATCTTATTGAGTGCATGGTCTGGCATTGACAGTATATCAGATAGTGAGAGAGATTTCTTGTCAAACTCCGCGTATGAGTTCAGGTAAGACAAGGGATCTAGGGGGGCAATAGGGGTCTCTGGTGACAACTGTCGTTCTGTACTTAGGTCTTGTTCACTAACTATAGACATATCATCCTCTACCTGCAGGGAGAGAAAATTGACTTCCGCATAGTGGGCATCCTCTACCATAATATGGGAGGGAATAATCTCATCTGCCTCGTGGGCATCCTCTACCAATGTATGGGAGGGAATTACAGGGCTAGTCCCCAGAGCGGTATGTTCTTCGCTCTCTGAATCTGAAGAATCACTCACTGGATCTATGACTTGTTCGTCATTCTCTTCGGTCTGTCTGGCACCTAGCATGCTTCCCGGCATCGTAGCTAGGTCACCTTGTTCGTTTTCTGTCTCAAGAGTAAGCTTGACAGCATCTGTCAATGAACTCCCAGTGTGTACAAGTTGTTCATCAGTCATCATTGGCTCAGGAGCCAATGTGTCTACTGAGAAGGAACGGTCACGACGACTCACCATGGGTACGTAACCCTTTCCACTTCTCAGTCTCATCATCTTTAGCTGCAGCTAGGTTGTGTTGTATGTGGAGGTAAGGGTAAACTTGAGGTGGCCAGCCTCAAGCTTTGAACTTGGCGTTAAAGGTTAGATCAAGGTGTCAGGGCACAGCCCCTGACCCCACACACCCTCAGGTACCCTCCCCCCATTTTCTCCTATTTTTCCCTTCACTGTTCCACAATCCCGCATGCATGCAGACCCGTGGGAACGTTCTGGGCGAGTTACTAGCCCAGAAACCATCACAGCCACAACCGTGGGAACTTTCTGGGCGAGCAGCTCACCCAGAATCTTCCCACGGGGGGGTGCCAATTATGGAAAGTCGGCAAAGAGCCGAAGACTGTATAGTTCCCAACTCCCATTTGTAGCAGCTTCACAGGAGGTTGAGAAGGTTACCCTTCTTCTCAACTCATTTCCTGTGAAGGCAAGTGTAACTACCTTCTCCCTAAATGCGCAGCAACTCATTTCCTGTGAAGGCTGGGGCTAGCCCCCTCAGTGAGTTCAGAGATCTTGGACTGGGACTAGATACCCCAGCGACTAGGAGGACCCCCCTGGGCCCGTCACAGAACGAGGGCCGGGCCCTGACACAAGGTAAATCAAGAGTGTAGGGATGTGAAAAAATGTGAGGAACCTCAAGATCGGCTGTCGCCGATGGCTAAGTCCTTAAGGATTAATGAACTCACTAGGTCACTGAGAGAGTCACAGGTCCAAGAGGGCTTGATTTACGGGGTAAATACAAGAGGTTCTAACTAACAAAACTTGGACGGGTATATATATCCATCAGACTACTTATGTAAGCACACCGCTTACACTGTCACGGCGCTACTTTGTTGGTGTGCATTAGTCCTTCAGTTTGATTCAGCGATAGGTTCAAGTTTAGCACTACACAACAAGAGGATTGTAAGGTCGGTTGAGGTTCCGACCTTGGTGTTGACTCCTGCTATCCTCAAGCTGTCAGGAATTAGGCAGTATAGAGCTGTAATTTCAACAGGGGAGGAGAAGAGTGAAAACCTGTTTCACCCTTCCCCGCAATTTATATACATTGTTTACATCGAGAAATAAAGAGTAATAAACAATGAATAAAGAAAGCGTGCACAGCATGCATCACCACACATCCATTCCCTACAAGGATCCTGGGGAAATCCCAACTGCCGCATCAGGGGTATTACCTGCACTGCAGGTCACTCTGCCTCCCCCATAATTATGTAAAACGTGCCACTTTTGCTTACGTGTTGTATTCCGCATTGTATTACCTGCACAGCCATCCAGGTGAAATTACGCCATTTCTGCCACTTGTGCTGACATGTTCATTTTCCATTTAGGTTTCATGACCTTGTGACTTTTATATTTATAACGTACAATTGGTAGACAAATCAAGTGAGTCATGCTGAAAATCCAGTGAGATTGGCAAAACCCAACGTGAGCGTCACCTATGAATCTCTGAGGCTTGATTTTGGGCTCTTTTGGTAGAGGAGAATTAGATCTATCCACGTACCGAGTTTAGGGGTAAATGCCCAACTACTTCAGGAGTTAATATGAAGAACTCTGCCCTTCGCAATGTCAGCACTTAGTCCAAGCACACCTGAATGCGTGCCCAGCGCTTACCTGGCCAAAATTCCCCTTACTTGTATCTGCACCTCTACCTGCCTTACTCATCGTGCTAGGCTGCGTCCGATGACACAGCCACAGCCTGCATCTGCTAAAATACTGTGTCGTACTCATGAATTGGCATGTCAGCCTGCGATGCAGCCCATTCTTGAAGGGATGCAGCAGACACATGCCCAACTGCGCAGCTCTTGGTCCAACCCCCCCACTGCTGCTGCACCCCCGCTTGCCCTGCCGCATGGGCGCTTTGGGCAAGGGAAGGAGATTTATTAGTCGATACTATTGACCAATTTTCAGTGCGCTTGTCTTATCCTCATTTGTACACTTGTCCCCTCCCCAAGTCGCTGTCCTGATGTCCTCTTTCTGCTCCCCATTTTCCTATTTGTTTCCTATTATCCGGAACACTTCCGCTATTGTCTCCACACACTTGACATAGCCCGATGCCATGATTCGGGATCTCTCCTGAGCATAGAACATCTATGCACTCTTTTTGTGTGGAATAATGATTTAATCATGGTTCACTTTTTTCTGTACAACTGACTAGGGTGTTGAAAAGCAGTGCAGGTCAGCGCGTGCGAAGGCACGCACTCTAGTTCAGAAATGGAGCGAGGATTTCGTTATGTATGGAGTGGCCAGAGTGAACCCTTTTTTGGGCAAACTGAATTAGTTTCCCCTCAACAATATTATTCAAGTCATCACCCGTCCTGAAGTCCAGAACCGACCCGAGGCGCGACAGTCCCGCCGCACAGCGTTCCTCGTTGCCAAAGTCGTCTCCTGTCAGTTCCCATGGAACCCAATCACCAAGCAATCCCAACACACTCGGAGGACTCGAAGGATGAGATCAGCTTGGAGAACCGCAAATATTTCCATATCAATGATTTGCCTGTAGAACTCTTGCGGGAAATATTCGTTACCTTGAAAGCCGACTGGAATGGGCACTATTCTTCTGATGGCTGCACCGTGGCTCATGTGATAACAAAGACTTGCCACTTCTGGCGCTTCGTGGCACTGAGCGAACCTCGACTATGGGCAACATCCATCATTAGATCCGAAGGTGGGAGTGAAGAAGGGAGGTTGCAGCGGTTTTCAGAGTGCTTGAAGAGATCCAAAGATGTGCACCTGGAACTAATGGTGAACTTCACGGGCGGCAAGAGATGTCCCAGTCCGGAGTTTCGCAGACGTGTCAAGGAGATCGCAACACCCCATCTTAATCGTTGCACCTCCTTGTACATCATCGATTACGACTTTCGCCTTCCAAACGACTGGATCCCACTTCCCAACGAACTGAAATCGCTGAGGGATGCAGCGATAGCTTTGGATCCTGCGCTCCACTGGTCCCCACAGCCTCCTCACCAAAACCTGGATTTGGGCTTACCAAAGCACTTTCGCTATCTCAAACTTTATGCCCCGAGTCGATACCTTCCAGCATTCACTTTGAATTCCGTGATGGAACATCTATCGGTGTCGTTGAACGAAAAGAATATCACCAATCTCCTACGCGATGTTGAGCCTTTGAAGACTCTGGAATTAGAGCCTGTGACTTCCCAAAACCTGGACATTTTACCTTATTCATTTCCCCAGCTTGAGAATCTCATCCTCCGTGGTGGGAGGGTTTCCTTTCCCATCGTGGCCCCGCGTCTCAAACACCTATATTGCCTCTCTTCACTCGATAACACAATAAAGAAGGATATTCTGAAGGGCCTCGTCTCCTTAGAGGTTAGAGCATCTAACCTACCGCGGGATTACCTTGTTCACTGTCACGCGCTGGAATGCCTAGGAGTTTACGTCACAGTGGACGAGAGTATTAGGATGCTGGAATCCCTACTTTCAATTGCGAAACCGCCAGGTCCAGATCTCCCACATCTCTCGGCATATCACTGCCCCAATCTCCAGAGAATAATGTTCTCGATCTATCTAAGACCTGATCCTCAAGCAGTTGAACGCATTTCTAATTGCATCGTTGAACTGCTTGCCCTCCGACCGCGTCTCTCAATGGTTGAAATCAGGATCCGCATAGAAATGCAGGACGCGTTGGATCTATCTCCCCTTACTATGGATCTTCCGGAAGCATTCCCAGCCAGAGTGGTTGTTTGGGGCCCTGATACAACATTTCGCCGCTTCGGCCCGCCAATCTTTTTAAACCACATGAATGGATATCCCCACACCCTTCTGGTTCAGCGTTGAGCGCGTGGTTTCATCGTGCGCGAGATGCCAACACCTTCACGAGTTACCACATAACGCTCAATGTTAATGATTGTAGACTGCTGATCGCCTTCTTGTAACTGTGCTTATACATCAAGTTGGAAGAGGAATTTCATCCAAGTCAACAGCCATTCCCAGCAGCAGAGGTTTCCATCTCAGGGGTTCCCCTACATTTCGGCTTGGACTAAGAATCTCCTATCTTCGCTTTTCCCCTCAAATCGACTTTGCTGTTGATAACCACGTCAACGGCACGGTTTGTTACGGAACTAGCACAGTGCAATCGCTGATATCAGAAGAAGGTCATTTTGAAGGGCCTCAGCTCTTTAGAGATTGAGGACGCAGGACGGGTCTATGACCCGCAAAGGGGCATTCGACCAGGATTGCCTTATTCATTGCCATAAGCGAAGGAGAGCATCAAGTTGCTGGAGTTCCTGCTTATTTCGCTGCGAGTCGGCCAGATTTAGATCTCCCACATCTTTAAGTGTACCTTGTCCCCCGTAGAGCATAACTCCCTAACTGCTTACTTAAACTGCTTTCCATCCGAACGGCGGGCTTCTCAAAGGCTGAAATCACAATGAACGCGAGAGGGCACGGCGCTAGATTTATTTCCCCCCTTTACTAAGGATCTTCTGGAGGCGTCTCCAACTAGAAGCTGTGGATTACGGTATGGGATTTCTCGCGTTCAGGCAGCCAATCTTTTTTTAGAACCCCATGAATAACCCCCCCGATACAACTTAAGTGTTGAGCCGTCGCTTCTCCATGCGTGCGCGATATCGATGTTACTCCGAGCTAGGCCCACTTTTCCTGTCATAACACCGAATGATTGTAAAAATTAAACCCTTCTTGGGATTGTTACTGGACAGTATGTACATAGTATATTCATGTTCGAAAGTTGAGAAAGAAGAAAAGAAAATCCAACCAAGGCGTTCCTTTTATTTTCTCTCTCTCTCTCCCCCATTTCTAATTCTGGTTCCCGATTAAAAACCGACTGTCACTATGTTCCCTTCAAAAAACCGGTATACGTCGACCGCCACGCTTCCTTCCCTCCTGTCTCGATGACGTCCTGTCATGATCAACGAACATTCGCATCAATCCACATATCCAGCAAACGGTACTTTAGCTAACAATTTACTCACTCCATGACATGGTATTATCCTATTGAAATCCCAGCCATCAACGACTTTCGCATCTCGGCTCATGGCTCTGTACGGTGTAAAAAAAAAGGCGCTCGTTAGTCTAAGCTCTGCTAATTAATTAATTAATTATTTGATTCTTACTTTCCATCCTTGATCGAAGCAAGCCAAAGAAACGCTCGTTGAAATCTTGTTCCGGGGCTCATGAGGCTATGGAACCAATTCTCGTAGTCGGTGGGTAAACCGTTCTGTTCTCCAGCGGGGAGGTTCCAAAGGAGGTCTGCTACGAGGAGCGTGCGTGATGGTTTGTGGAGGATGGCTAGATCCTTGTTGATGAAAGAAGGGAAGAATTGGGTGGAGATGTCGGGAGGAAGTTGGCTAAAGGGAGGTGGATTGTTGGAGGTGTATACTTATAATATGATCGAGAGTGTTGCATGGTGGGGAGTTTTAAGAGATGTGTGTAAGGATTTCGTTTTATTTGGCGAAGGGATAGGTAAATGGTTGACTTACGATGGTCCCAGCGGAGGTGAGGTTTCCGCTTGTCGAGGGTTTCGACGCCTATTAGTTTCGCCTCTGGGTAGGCATTTTGGTACGATTCTAGTTTTAAAGGGAGACCAAGGGTGGTCTAATAGGCCTAATGTAAGGCGGTGCGAAGGAGCGATGACGCACCGACGAAAATAGTGTGCTCTTGAAAAAACTCAATCGTATTCATTTCAATTTCAAAGAATAACAGACAACACACCAGCGTCAATGGCTATGATGTATCTACGAATAACGTCCGTTTCGACGTTGAGTGTCAATAGCGATCGATAGCCCTCTCATGCGAATCAGGACACGTACTTGACCTTTCCCAAACTCTCAATCGTTTCCTTGGTAGCCTGGTCAAGTTGCGTAGACGCAATCAAGAAAACATCTCCCGAGCTCAATCTAATAGCTGTCGAGCGTCCACCAATGGGGGCTCCAAAACGACGAAAAGGCCTTGAAGGGAATGGGGGGTTCAAGCGCCAGCAACACAGGCTGAAACGTAGACTATCTCACCTAGAAAAGGTAACCAATCCTGGAGCGATCTACAAGTTGACACTGAGCACGCTGACAGTGGGTTCTCAAGCACGTTGAGCCAGGAAACGAAATATACCTCTCGAATGATAGTGCTCATCAATCAAGTCAAAGTGATCTCGTTCTTGATGGCACTTCTTCTGGTTGATTGACTGGACTTGCTTCCGTTCGGTAAAGGGACTGGCAGTGTTTGTCTAACTTCAAGAGCAATCTAGTACGTCCCACAGCCTCCTCGTTCCGCGTGCGGGTTCGGATTTGAATCCCCGGCTTGTTTGATGGGTGGGAAGATGTTTCGCCAAGGTCAGGGACAATTCAGTATGGGGATTGGGATTGAATTGCAGTGGCAGTGAACCCATTTTGATACAATTGCCATTTTTAGCATGAACACAGCCCCATTTTCAAATCACACAAGTGAGAGCAGACAACGAAGAAAATAATCAGAAATTCAGGGTTAAGCCTGGGGTGCTGATTCAGCGGCACAAGATGCGGTTGGTGGACCTGACTAGTTCTGGGATACGTGGAACAAATGAGAAGCGCCCTACAGCCACAATACCATTATGTAACCTCGTGCCAAGGTACAAGGGCTCTTCTTCCGAGTTGAATAGTACTTCCTTTTTCGGCGACCATCCGCATCCTTCCCTTCCGCCTCGCTTGCCGTGAGTTATCTTGCCCCCTCCGCGCTTTTCCCTTCTCCAACCTCCCCCGCCTAACCTAACCTAACCTCCCTTCTTCCGCATAGTTTATCATATTTGCCTGACAGAGGCGAGTAAAGGGTGTGTGGACAAAAGTGATGGCAAGGATCTTTTCCTTTCCCTGGGCGCTTCGTGCTCTTTTGCTCGCTCTCTGTGCTCGGGTCAGTTTAGCATGTACGCTCTACACCCCAAGTACGTCGCAGGGGATTACAGATGAAGTCCAGTTCCAAACCTCCTGGACGGCGTGCACCGTGAGTGTTCTACTTGTGTCATCAACCTTGCGGGACGAGTTCGACTGATCTCACTTTTCCAATCCATACGGTGCGTGCGCATATTGCTGTGTTTTCGGAATTCCCAACACGTTCGTGTTGTGCTCTGGTTTAGCCTCCCGTTACGATCCAATTTTGGGATAAAGATACCAACACATTGTTGACGAGTTATAGTGGTTCAGCGTCAACGGTCTACTTGTGCGTTAATCAGCTCTGTTATCACTTTGGGGTGATGCCCATAGCCGCACATCTTACTTATTCCATGTCATATCGCACAACAGCACCATCCATAATGGTGCAGGTGTAACGGTGTACTTTGTCTTGATAGACTCTGCAGGGTTGAAAGCGACAAGTATCTCATACGTAGTCAAGGTTCGTTAGCAGCACTTCCTACTTGTTTGTCCCGTTCTTGTGCAGTTATCTGATAAACTTGTTTTTTTTTTTATCACGATGCTGTAGCCTAATCTAAGTCTGAGTTCAACTTCATCGCCAACTTTTCCCCCGGTTAGCCTATTTTTTTTTGGCCAATAGCTTGGGTGAAACCTTGTTGACGTTATCGGTCATTCTCTCATTAGAGTACCCGGGTGATCTCGACTTCGGACATTGCTTTGGTGCGTATTCCGTTCCCCAGTCCCAGTGTGGATGAAGGGATAGATAACATTCTGACGATCTGGCCCTTAGCTTTCGCTACAATCTGTCTCCATTCTTTCAGTGAACAGCGTCGCTTCAGTTTCTTCTGAGGTCAGTGGTTCTCAGCCCCGTTTCTGGCGAAAAGAATATAGCTGAGCTCACACCGTTGGGTTTTCTGTTCCATGCTGCACTTCAAATAGTCTGTGAACAGCCAGACGACGACGCCCGAGACGACGTCACCCGATAGCACGACAACCCCAACCACAAGCTCATCACCTACATACACAAACCCATTTCCTTCGAACACAGGTTCCTCACCCACTTCTTCTTCTTCCGCTCCTGGTAGGAGTACATCTCAATCAGTGCCCACACGATCCATTCCTCCAGGGTCCAGCACTTCTACAAGCTCCTCTTCCAGTTCAACTACGACATCTTCGGGCGGCGGCTCTTCCCACGTAGGACTTATAGCGGGTGCTTCCGCCGGAGGTGCCGTTGCACTTGTTATTGTGGGATCCCTCATCGCCCTCCTTATTAAGAAGAAGAACCAAGATAATCTTGAAGACTACATGGATCAACAAGGTGATCCCGCCCCTATCCTTCGAGTCCCTCCCGGTACGGGTGGGAACGTTGGCGGTGGTAATGGCGGATCGGTCGGGACTCCAGGATTGTATGCTGCTCCTTTGGATCCGTATGCTCCCGTTACGACCGGGGCGTATAACCCACAGGCATATCGTCCAACGAGCGGTGGTAGTGCGGAGGGTTGGAATGCAGCTGGGGTTGGAGCTGCTGGGGTTGCAGGAGGCTATGGGTCTGGATTCCCTCAACATCAACCAGCGGATGCAGGAGCGGCGATTGGAGTAGCGTTCCTCAATGATAACACTTCACCCACTGGGACGACGTTCCCCCGTCATAGTCAACCCCCGACGATAGCGTCGAGTCCTCCGCCTAGCATTCCACTCAATCCTGAGGAGAGATTGAACGCCGCGGTGGGCAGTGGTCAGCCTCGTCATGGCGCTGGTGGTGCTGGTGCTGGAGTGTCAGATCAACCGGCTGGATATGAAGGGCAGGGACAGGTGAGACCCGGTCCGGTCGATCACACTGTGCAGGGGAGCTACAGTGGGTTACCTGAGGTATAAGGGTTGATAGGTTGATAGGTTGGAAGGGGGAAAAAATGATACTTATGTATTCATGTTGTTTCTCCTGGGACTTCTTTTATTATTTCGGTTGGAAGGAGGGTTGGGTGGTGGTTATTTTGGCCCCACTGATGCTTGTCCGACCCCATTTTTCTCATTTCTCCACCAGTTAGTTGTTCTTCAATATACTGTCATTCTTTACTGTTTCTTTTTTACCTTTTTTTGGCTAGTTTTTTTTTGGCTCACATAATCGCCTGTCCTTCCCTGGTGTGTGTGTTTGGTACCAGCGTTACACGGTCTACTTAACCGTGCCAGTACTGTCTGCGATTGCCGTCGGCTCTTGAATCATGTGCTCACATCATTACCTTAATGTTCGGTTTGCACATTACTCACATAATTGGACAATGACAATGTCAGGAATTGAGTTGCTCTCAGTGCTAAGTAACTACATACTTTGCTGAGGTGGTTTTACAAGTAATTGGGTCTAAAAAAGAGCTGCGTTACAGTTTAAAAACGACCAAAAATGGTTATTTCATCACATGCGTTATCCAACTCATCCGGTTTGCGCAACTTCTTCACATGCCGCCCCCCGGCCTTGACCTTTTATGTGGCCCCTCTGACTGTCGCATGCACGATCGCATGCACGTTTCCTGGTTACGTTAACACCATGTTTCACCTTCGCGTTCTTAATCGATTAATCCCGATCGGTGTTTCTGGAAAAGCGGAGAGTTTTTAGCTATGACAGAGATGTCGATGTCCAACGCGCGCGCCTATGCACTCTAAACCATTCCACATGAGTCGTTCGGTTTCAATATCGTGTTGGTCTTTCTCTCACTTCATTATCGTTCGGGTGCAAGTCGTTTCCCGGTTTCGAACCTGTCTCATTGGACCGCTCTCGGACCGCTGATCTCTAGTGTAACTTCCTCCAGGCTGCTTGGATTCTGTCACTAGATATCATCCTCTTCCGTCGCTCCAATCATCCTCACTCACATGCGTTGTGCAATGGCTTCGCGCAGCTGGATCCGCGTTTAGTACCGTTTCCAGTTCTTGAGTCACTTAGGTTTCCCGCAAAGTCTGCGATAACCCTATCAGGATGTGTACACCTTAAATGCTCGTTCGTTCTTCGTCTTCGCATCCCCCTCCAACATGGCTCAGGCTCTGACCTTACGTGCCAATTTTGCTGGGTGAACACAGTTCCTGATTTAAGGAATGGTCGACTGCACAGCGAGCTACTCATAGGTTCCTTCCTACTGTCTTGTCCTCATTACTAACTTATCTCAGCAACGGATATCACTGATGCTCTCGCCGTCCCCTTCGAAGTGTATGTTCACGGGTCAACCGGAGGAAAGCATGCATCCCGATTCCGAGATCAACGTCATCTTCGACATTACTGGTAACATTTCTGCAGTTGAAATCCGCGCGTTCACCTTGACTGCCTGTTCCTTCGACACTGCGGTTAGTTTTATCAACGATCCAATACATTTAACTGACAAAATCCATCGCGTCATTCAATTTCCCGTTTCGATTCTGATATCGAGACACACACTCCAATGTACTTCAATTTGACCTCAAGGACTTGGGTAATCTTCACTCGCCCGATCCTCTCAGCTCTCTTGGGAACACTAAAAAACACAGCCTGTTTAATCGGCAGATGAATCCCAAGCAGACCGCCGCAGAGCCATCCGAACCGATTGCCTCCACTAGTGTGGCTCCTTCTGTTACGGCAGGATCTAAACACGCTGCGACCAGTTCAGAGCCCGATACTTCCTTTGTGAATCTCTCTTCTACCTACGACAATGATTTGGCTGAATCAGACGACCATCCCGATTTCAGTAAGCCCCAAGAACGAGCGAAGAAATAGATTCATTGTTTGTGTCGCGATTCCCATTATAGCGATTTGCTGTTGTCTATTTATTTGTTTGTGCCGAGATTTTATATACACCTTGGAGTAGTTGTAAAGGCAGCCTTTTACCTCTACCCCATTGATATAATTAGATGGACACTTGAGGCACGGGGCGAACGGGGGAACGGAACAACATCGTCCCCAACCGTAAGCACTTCATTAGGCCTGAACCCTTAAAGGCCTAAAACGAAATCTTCGGCGAAACCCGAAAACGGTTTTTTTTAGTTCCCCCGTTCAAACGCGACTTCAACCACTTGGATCATTCCAACGACAATGTCGCCCACCCTTGATCTATCAACTTGGTCTGGTGACCAACTGGTCGAAGACTCCGAGGACGAGGAGTCACTCGGGGTCGCAAAGTTGGTGGAGCGCAAGCGACGCCGACAGGAGAGGAAGGCGGAAGAGCAGAGGAAGCGGGAGGAAGCGGCGGCAGCGCGACGAGCTGCCGAGGAGCGGAAGCGGAGGGAGCGAGAGGAAAAGGCAGCTGCGGCAAGGCAGGTGAATAGGGCGTTTTACCAACATCACCAGGGGATCAGGAATGAGGAAGCTGATCGTTTGGTCATAGCACAACTCTGTCGCGTCGGTGCTACCGACAGCGCCGGCAAAGATGCCCCCGTGTGCCCGATGTATCTCGCGCGGCCTGAGGTGCGTCCCGGCTTCCGGAAGATCCACGTCATGTATGGTGTGTAGGGGGGCGAGGGTACGCTGCGTGCGCCCAAACAAACGCGTGGAGATGGAGTCGCCCGTGCCTGCGAGGAAACGAGTAAGGATGGAGTCTGAGGGATCGGGGGTGCCTCAGGAGGAGGCAGAAATGGGGCGTTTGGTTGCGCACATCGCAGGCTCGCTCGCCGAGATCAGCGAGGCAACTCGCTCGCTGGTTGCCCTGTTGGGGCCAATCCTGGCTCCAGCCACACGCGTGGAAGATACCAGCAGGACGGACGCCGGGGGAACCGCGGAGGAGGAGGCGGAGGCGAACGCGATGGTTGATCAGCTGTCTGAGGACCAAGACAACGGGATGGAAGGAGGATCGAAGATCGAGCGGACGACATTGCTGCCAGTACCGCCGTCCTTTCGTTTTAACATGTAATTACTCCTCTTGTCTTGTAGTAAGTATATATACGAGTACCCAACACCTCCGATTTGGAAATGATGCATGCAGTCAAACAGACTTTCGGGGTCTACGGTAGGAACTAGGATGTGTGATGCGGGCGAGCCCTCCAAGAACACAAAAAAAGGAAACATATCAAGGACAACCCATGAAGAGATTAGAAATAGTTTAACACGCATCAGTCCCCTTGGGCCAAATTACTTTAGAGGCAAGAAACCCAAGCAAAGGATTTGGAAAAGCATCACGACTATACTTTATTATACTTCAGATAATCCATTCTAGCCCTCCTGTGTGGTACGCTTGCCCTTGCACTTTCATATATATCTATCTGGTCACTCGGAATGATCTGAAACGCTGGAATGATCTCTTCCCGTTAAAGAGAGGCTGGTCACCTGCCTATGGAACGAGGACCCGACACTGGCGTCGAAGCAGGCTAGGAATCATGGGGTTAATCCCACGCCTACTACTGGGATGGAGGACTTGGTGCTAACGTCAAAAGCAGGCTGGGGATCCTCACGGGGAGGAGCTGCAGGCGAAGTGCTACTGGGAGGAGAACCCAACGCTGGCGTCGAAGCAGGCTGTGGTTGATTCCGACGGGGGGGCACGGTGCCTCAAGTAGGTGAAGTGCTAGTATCCTCATCAGGTTGGGTTGCTTCCGCGTCCACTGGTTGAGGGAATCCATACCCAGGCCTGGGGCTAGGTTAAAACTGAGTACCTGAGTCAACGCTAATTAAACTCCCGTTGTGACACTGTCACCACTCCGTGGACGATATATATGACGGCAGATCGTGTGGCTCCGTCGCATTGGGAGCTTCCAGATCCAGAGGAGCATCATCCAACCCGGGAGTACCGAGCGTCCTGCCATCACCGTCGTTCGTCGTAGCAGGAGGAAACCGTTAGAGCTTGCAGTCCGACGCCAAATGCTCACGGGTAACTTCATGCACGTTGTACTTACTGCTCACAGCTTTGTGTTTGCTTTGCCTTTGTTCTTTTTCCACGTTGTGATCATTATGTACAGCACCCCACCCAGATATATATATATAGATAACAAGAATTTTACTAAGAGCACGATATCTCACTGAACGTCGATATCGCGCTGCTTAGACCTCGGTTGTGCCACTTTAACAGGAACCTGAAGTAGGTCCATAAGCATGTCACAAAAATCCTAAAGCATACCGTAAGGGACTTGAAGCATATCGCGGGAATCTTGAAAACGTATCACCAACGTCCTAATTATCGCGAGGGACTTCTTGTGGCGTATCACGGGAATCTTGAACCGTATCACCAATGTCCTGAAGTATGTCGCGAGGGACTTGAAGCACATCACGGACGACATCTTGAAGGGTATCGCGAGTGTCCTGAAGCATGTCGCGAGTGACTTGGAGCCCATCATGGACGACGTCTTGAAGCGTATCACGAGTGTCCTGGAGCATGTCGCGAGGGATTTGAAGCGCATCTCCAGCATCTCGAAGCGTATCCTGAAGTATGCTGGGAGGGACTTCAAGCGTATCACGAGCATCTTGGAGCGTGTCACGGGCATCTCGAAGCGTACCGCGAGCATCCTGAAGCATGTCGCGAGGGACTTGAAGCCCATCATGGACGACATCTTGAAGCGTATCACGAGTGTCCTGAAGCATGTCGCGAGGGACTTGGAGCGTATCTCCGGCATCACGAAGCGTATCACGAGTATCCTGAAGTATGCCGTGGGGGACTTCGAGCGTATCACGGACATCTCGAAGCGTATCGCGAGCGTCCCGAAGCATGTCGTGAGGGACTTGGAGCATATCACGGGTATCGTGAAGCACGTCACGAGTGTCCTGAAGCACGTCGTGAGGGACCTCTCGAAGCGTATCGCGAGCATCCTGAAGCATGTTGCGAGGGACGTGGAGCATATCACGGGCATCATGAAGCGTATCACGAGTGTCCTGAAGTACGTCGCGAGGGACCTCTCGAAGCGCATTGCGAGCGTCCTGAAGCATATCGCGAGGGATTTGAAGCGCATCTCCAGCATCTCGAAGCGTATCCTGAAGTATGCTGGGAGGGACTTCAAGCATATCACGAGCATCTTCTAGTGTATCACGAGCATCTTGGAGCGTGTCACGGGCATCTTCAAGTGTGTCGCGAGCGTCCTGAAGCATGTCGCGAGGAACTGGAAGCGCGCCTCTGGCATCTCGAAGCGTATCACGAGTATCCTGAAGTATGCCGGGAGTGACTTCGAGCGCATCTTGGAGCGTGTCACGGGCATCTCGAAGCGTATCGTGAGCATCCTGAAGCATGTCGCGAGGGACTTGAAGCCCATCATGGACGACGTCTTGAAGCGTATTACGAGTGTCCTGAAGCATGTCGCGAGGGACTTGGAGCGTATTACGGGCGTCTTGAAGCACATTGTGAACGAGCGTATCATGGAGGGCCATGTCACGTGCATCTCGAAGCGCATCGCGAGTGTCTTCAAGGATGTCGTGAGGGACTTGAAGCATATCAGAGGCATCATGAAGCTTATCACGAGTGTCCTGAAGCATGTCGCGAGAGACCTGGAGCGCATCTTGAAGCACATTATGAGTGTCCTGAAGCATATCGCGAGGGACTGGAAGCGTATCACGGGTATCTTGAAGCGTATCATAGACGTCTCGAAGCGTATCACGAGTGCCCTGAAGCATGTCGCGAGGGACTTGGAGCGTATTACGGGCGTCTTGAAGCACATTATAAGCGAGCGTATCACGAGCATCTTGGAAGGCCGTGTCACGGGCATCTCGAAGCGTATCGCGAGTGTCCTCAAGGATATCGTGAGGGACTCGAAGCATATCAGGGGAATTATGAAGCTTATCACGAGCATCCTGAAGCATGTCGCGAGAGACTTGGAGCGCATCTTGAAGCACATAATGAGTGTCCTGAAGCGTATCACGAGTGCCCTGAAGCAAGTCGTGAGGGACTTGGAGCGTCTTATGAGCATCTTGAAGAACATTATGAGCGAGCGTATCACGAGCATCTTGGAGCTTGTCGCGGGCACCTCGAAGCGTATCGTGAGTGTCCTCAATGATGTCGTGAGGGATTTGGAGCGTCTTATGGGCATCTTGAAGCACATTATGAGCGAGCGTATCATGAGCATCTTGGAGCTTGTCGCGGGCACCTCGAAGCGTATCGTGAGTGTCCTCAATGACGTCGTGAGGGACTTGCAGCATTTCAGGGGCATCATGAAGCTTATCACGACCGTCCTGAAGCATGTCGCGAGAGGCTTGGAGTGCGCCTTGAAGCACATTATGAGTGTCCTGAAGCATATCGCGAGGGACTGGAAGCGTATCGCGGGCATCTTGAAGCGTATCATAGACGTCTCGAAGCGTATCACGAGTGCCCTGAAGCATGTCGTGAGGGACTTGGAGCGTCTTACGGGCATCTTGAAGTACATTATGAGCGAGTGTATCGCGAGCATCTTGGAGCTTGTCATGGGCACCTCGAAGCGTATCGCGAGTGTCCTCAAGGAAGTCGCGAGGGATTTGAAGCATATCAGGGGCATCGTGAAGCTTATCACGAGCGTCCTGAAGCATGTCATGGGGGACTTGAAGCATATGGCGGGCATCCTGAAGCGTATCACGAGCGTCCTGAAGCATGTCATGGGGGACTTGAAGCATATGGCGGGCATCTTGAAGCGTATCACGGGCATCCTGAAGCACACTATGAGGCGCCTGAAGCATACCACGGGCATCCTGAAGCATATCGCGAGTATCCTGAAGCATACTATGACGGGCATCTTGAAGCATATCACGAGTATCCTGAAGCATGCTCTGAGGTGCCCGAAGTACACCACGGGCATCCCGAAGCGTATCGCGGGTCTCTTGGAGCATACCACGAGGAGCCTGAAGCATCTCACGAGTGTGCTGAAGCATATCGCGAGGAGCATGGAGCATATCACGAGGAGCATGGAGCATATCACGAGTATCCTTGAGCTTATCCCGAGTGCCATGAAGTATACTTCGAGGGAGCTGAAGCATAGCGGAAACCTGAGAAGGGCCATGCTGTTGGTCTACGGTAGGTGCCGGACTCGATGCCGTCGTCGGAGCAGATTGGAAATCAGATGGTTGACCCTGACCGGGAAGTGTAGCCTGAGTGGGTGAAGTGATACTGGGGGAAGGACTGGACGGTAGCGTCGACGCCGGCTGGGGATTAGTTGGTTGACCTCGAAGGGAGCGCAGTCCCCGAGCAGGTGAAATACGATCATTCTGACCAGGGCGGAGGAATGCTGCTCCGGCACTCACAGGTTGAGGAAGTGTGGGTTCGGGTCCTGGGGGATCCTGAAAGAGAGCAGAAGGGCCAACTTCGTGGTCCGTAAGGCCCTCGAGTCCCCCCTGAGCACCCCTCTTAGCAAGCCCAACAAGGGAGGTTGCCAACAAGCCTAGCGCAGCAATCCCTCCTACAGTAGCACCCGCTATAAGTCCTGCGGGAGTGGATTTGTGGTTCGAAGGTGACGGAATTGAACTGGAGGAGGTGCTGGTGAAAGTTGGAGGCCCTGGAAGCACGGGTTGTGGGGTTGTTGTGGTGGAAGAAGAGATGAAGGTGCTAGTATGTGAGGAGTGTGTGCTGGAAGGAAAAAGGTGCGTGGATGTGCGCGACGAGCTTGTACTAGTTGTGGTTGCTGTGTCTATGTCTACACACGTAGTCGTCTGATAGGAAAAGGATCATACGTCAACAATGTTCTGCCTGGGGATTGGCCAGGTGAGAGCTGACCGAGCGCGGAGCTGGCGGTGAACATCCAAGATCCAGATCCAGCTATGAGAAAAAAAAAATCATTTTAGACAGCGGCGCGAAAACGGAACAAATAGGCGGAGGCGCCTCCCACGAACCTTAATAACCAATTGGATGGTAGCGGGAATCTGTACCAAAGGACACAAACGCGACGCACGCGACCGGTTCGGGAGACAGCAATGCGCCCATACAAGATACGATTCGAAAGTATTAGGATTAGTCAAACTGATCCTGAGGGGTCGATACGCAGGACTCACGGTGCAAGGGGCATGGAAATGGAGTCCGTCCGTAATCACTTCCACTGTGCTCGGGGTGTACACCGTATACGCTAAACTAATCCGAGCACAGAGCGCAAAAAGAAGGGAGCGAAGGGCCCAGGGCGAGGAAGGAAGCCTTGCCATTGCTGTGTCCAGTAGCTTTGTTCTTTGCTTGTCACCGTCAGGACTCGGCAGCCAAAGAAACGTTATGGAGGTAGGAGAGATTAAAGGCTTTCTCAAACGAAAATCAAATTCCATCCTGACAGTGGCAGATCCCCGCGAACAAACTCCCGTATTACATAACGAAAGAAGATAGCACTTAGTCAAATTCGGTTCATTGTTGAACACTACGAACAAAGCAGCAGCCCTCTTTGTAAAGGAGTCTATGTCGTTGACAGAAAAGTTGGTCCGCCAGCAAGTTCAATAGACCAGAACTCTTGAGCAAGGAACGAGTGCCAGAGCAAGTGCCATGAGCCGGCCCCTTTCGGCGGACGGATGAATCATGATGGAATGTCAATGGATGGTTTAATTTAAGTAGTACGTAACCGTGCCTGTCGGATATCATATACGACGCCGCCGCCGTGCTATCAGTGAATCAAATGATGTCAACTTTGAACTTGAGCGTGTGGGATGGTGTTCACTGGGAGACCGTTCAGAACGGAGCAACACTATAAACTTTAAAGGCAATGAGAATGAATCGCTGCACCAGAGAAAAGTACTGATAGCAAGGGGAAAGCGAGAGTCTGATTTGCTCAAATTAGAAGGTTGTTCCTGACTCACGTGCCACTCGTCTGATCGGTGTAGTCGAGTTGGCCGAATCTATTTGTCTATTAAAGTTGATATTGTGCATGTCCGGCGCTTAGTCGTAGCTACTCCCACTCGAGAACCACTGACACCCGTATACCAACCAGACTACGCCAGACTCGACTCCATGTGTTTCCATCATGGGTGGCATTTTTCGATTCAAACAGAAATGAACCATCTAAAGGACAGAATCTCCCGAGTATGTAAGCAAGGAAGAAAGGAACTGGATTCGCTCAGTTCGGAGAAGTGAACGGTCATTCAATGCTTCCATGGACCACTCTGGGATTGGCAAAGGTACACTAGCTTCAGCGTTTCGCAATACTGTACCTGCTTGAGCGTAGCATGGCACTAGTACCTTGACGAGTTGCTGTCCCCTGGCTTGAGTCCCCTCTGACAGACAGTTCTCGGAGAACTTCAATATCTTGCCGCATGTTACCCTTGAGCCCAACGAATGACATACAGCGTTTCATTTGCGCGGGGTTCGAGCGCCGGCGCAAATTGGAGCCGGGTTCTTGTTCCTCGCCCAAATGTTCTAGTCTATATATATATTGCATTTGCCGATCGCACGCTCCCTGATCGGTGGAGTTTCGACTTTCATCAACCGCACTCCTTGCAATGAGGCCGCTTCTTTACTCGTGCATAGTATCCGTTGAATTTGATTTTCGAAATCCATACATAAAAACACTTCTTTACTAATCGGACACTAGAAACCGCGTAAACGCCATACTCCTACAAGCTGCATCTCGGTCCCCCCCCCGCCCGGTCCCCCATCCACAGCCTTCGTTTTGCTGGGTCTGTCTATCGCATTGCCCCACAGAAGTGAGCAATGAACAAAGCAGGCGGACATAGCGATATCAAAGCTCTTATCCTTCCCCCGGGCCCTTTCTGCCCATCTTTTCATGCTCTGTATTCGGGCGCGTACGATGAGCCCTCCCTGAAGAGATTACGTTTGGAGTCTGGTTCCAAGTGTTCTGGGAGTCCTGTCCATGCATTGACCGCAGGGTCGAGTTCGACTGGCGCCAACTTGTCGAAACCATAACTGTATGGGCACACTACTGTGTCTCGAATCGGTACCCGTGCAACACCTTTGTAGTCTGTGGTGTGTTACGATCCCGTGTTAGGTTCAGGATGACAATAGGATGTTGGTGAGTACTAACTCGCTGCCAAACGCCCCCTATCACTTTGTGCATTGATTATTCTACCTTCCAAGTCAGTACACATGGCCTTGCTTAGGCAGGTGACCAGCCTCTATTACGTCTTGCTTACGTCGCACGACAGTGGGATCAGCGCTAGTACCAATATCACAGCATACTTCGTTCCGATCGCCTCGCGTTTGCGCCGTTCTCCCTGATACAATGACTGAATCCGGATGTTAAGAGTTAGTTCACTCGCTTCGCTCTCGGTTAGCGTCTATCTGCTCGATAACGTACGTGACGGTATGAATCTCAGCTGGTTACCACGAACATCGCTTCACCCTCGTCTGTGGCCAGTAGTCCTCGACCCCGTCTTCGGCGAAGATTTCGATAAAGTTTACGCCAGTGGGCTCCCCACTTTTAATTTTCTCGCGCTTTAAATAGTCTGTGAATAGCAAACCAAGTGGCGCAACAATCGCTATCACAAGTTCACCGCATAGATCCGCAATTCCAGGATAAGCTTTACATCCACTCCCTCTACTTTCTAGCTCTAGCACTCCCGCAGGACTTATTCGCAGGTACGCTGTTGGAGGCACGGCTGCAATTACGTCGCGGTAGCCTTTATTGTTTGGAAGACTTGACCTGCTTGGGCTTGTGGGGGATAGTCGGACTAGTCGCCTCTGTCGTGACGTTAAAGAATAGATGTATAACAAGTAGGTGATGTGCGGATGCAGATTTCAGAATTAAATCAAAGCGTAAAGTACTGCTTGATGGATGGATAGATTTTAATGCGAGAACAATGTTGTTCAGTCCAGTAGACCGAGACTATCAGCAGGCCTATCTCAATCCCAGTTGGGTGTGGTTTAAGTCGAATTTCGAGGCTGGTTAATTCCTCGTAGTCAGTCAGTGCTTGCGTCTCGAGTTGCCCACGCTGCTCCTGTCCCTTGAGTGTTGTTGTTGTAGTTGTTTATTCTGGATATTTAACCTACAGGCTTGAGAGCGCCAAGGGCAGGGGTCGAGATAAATAAGGTGTCCTTCATCTCTCTGATAAGGTGTGGCTTGAGTGTTTGGCCGAGCTTGCGAGGCATTTGTTTACAGTGGGGGTTCCTCTTTTTTTACGTGGGAAAGCGCGTCGTGGAGTTGCGCGTCGTCACTTCACGCCGAAGGCGCTGCAAGCTCGGCCAAGGGGAAGACTTGTAACAATTGTAGCCTGGTTTGACAGTGTTTTCACATGATGAAACGAAAATACGTACTGCATTTCATTTCGTTTCTGCGCGCGCAGTAATTTTGTGGATTACAGTATGTAAGAGTCATCTCCATACGTCAGCGGAAGGGACTGGCTCCGCAGCCAGCATCCAGATGTAGGCAGGACTCCAGCCTCTATGACTTCGTAATAATATATAGAATCCAGATGCAAAGCCGTGCGTGTTCTCTGCTCAGAACTTCTGGTCTGTTGAACTCGCTAATCGCACATTTCCCGTCAGTTAATGCCCGAGAGTGAGATGTTGAACAAATGATCAACTACTGGTAATATTACAGCAAGCGTCAAAACAAAAAACGTGCGCCCGATTTGGATGAATATCCCAGCTACATAATTGACTATTTAGGAAATTAGTGCGCTGACGCTATGTCAGATGATCACATGGTCTTCTGGGCCATTCATCCAAATCGGCGTGGTTTTTTGTCTTTGACGCCGGCCCCAGTTCGAGGCAAGCCCGAGGGACAGCAGCTCGTACAAATCTCGAGCATCCCATTAACCCAACGTTACCGACCAATGTCCCTTATCATGTAGTGGCCATCCCCTGGTGTATAGATGGAACTGCTACGATCATTGCGAGACCGCCGGTCGGCGGTTATCAAGATCGATGTTTTCTAAGACGTTTATGAGCAATTACATTACTTGAAAAATCAGGGCAGTGCCATTACGATGGCTGAGAATAGTTAGATTTGAATTTGGAACCCTCAAGAACGTACCCCCAACTTTGTGCTGCCAGCCCTTGACTTTACCTCCTCACCTCCATAACTTCTGTTGCGGACTTTACCCCCTCAGGGGCAAGCAGAGAACAAAAACGCCGATGGCGAAACACTTGTTCTTTCTCTGGGCCCTTCGTGCCCTTTTCTTCGCGACCAGCGCTCGGGTTAGTTTGGCGTGTTCGATGGACTGCCCAAGTGTGGCGGATGGGATTACGGATGACGTTGATTTCCCAATCTCCTGGACAGGCTGTGTCGTGAGTTGCATGTCTCGGCTTCGGGGAGTTCAAATGACCCTGGCTCTTTCAAACCATACACCGTATGGGCGCGTTACCGTGTCCCGAACCGGTGGCACGCAACACGTTTTGTTTTTCTGGTGCAGACCCCCATTACGGTCCAAGTTTTATTGCTACCAGGGAGTAAGATATTGATGGTGTATCAAGGCTCGGCACCCAATATTCGCTTGTGCGTGATGGGTCCTAGTATCATTCCGGGTACTTATGCTACTCGCATCGCTAGCAATGTCTATGGTTTTACAGGACGCGAGGTGTACATATTTCTAACTGACGCTGACGGGTCGAGTCTGACAAGCTCAACATATCTAGTCCGGGTTCGTAAGCTGCACATGTCCCACATTCGCGCCTTGTCTGACAAGACGTTTTTTCTCTCTCTAACTCGATACCATAGCCGAACCCAACTGATACTTCCGCGATTGCTTCCGTGCGTATGAAGACCCGGGGCGGGTGAAGCCACAGCATTTTAACGATTCGTCCTCTAGATTTCTTCGCCTTCTCCTCGACCCCCATCGGTTAGTAGCTCTCAGCTTCGTTTTCTTCGATGGAGTTTACACCGTTGGGTTCCCCACCTTTCTCACGTTTGAAATAGCCTGTGACCAGCGAGACCACGACAACACGCTCGTTCACAACCCCTTTTCCATCCAGCTCAGATACAAACACCACTTCCAGTTCACCTCCGTCATCTACCTCTCCATCTCCATCACCTTCACACAGCAGCTCTCTTTCCACCGGAGTTATAGTCGGTATTGTTGGAGGGGTATCTGCACTAGCCGCGGTGATAGCTATCATTCGGAATGTTAAGAATGGCGGGGACATCACTTTAAATCTCATTCATTGTGGCAACTGAAGTAACTGCGTTGCTCGCATGGACCCTGGACTGTGTCATTCGGACTTAGGGTAGCGATGTATTTTGCATGTGCCCCTTTATTTTTCTTGCCTCTTATTTTTCTCTCATTTTATTCTGACCGAAGGTAGGTGGTATTCGGTCCATTGGTACTTGTCGAACGATTTTCCGATTTCTTGACCGAGGGCAACTCATTCTCGATCGTCAATAGCAGAGCGTAGGGATGCCACTTATTGAAGGGATGGGGGAGGGGACATCAATACGAACAACATGTCACAAGGCAAGACCAACATAATCATTTACTGGAGGCAGTAGCCTTGAAGGAGCGGCGAAGCTCGTGGATTTGAGGTGAAGGCAACATCTTTAAACCGTTTTGTATTTATGATTTCGACCAGGGGGTTGGACGGATCGCCGATGATGTCATCCACCTTGCTCGCAAGTATTTTCGGGAATGGGTGATGGCAAGCTCTGGGTGGGGGTCCGCCTACATCCGTCCCCGGAGCGCAGGACATGCAGAATGAAGAGTCAGCATACTGTACTAACCATAAGTTCGTCGCATGTCGCACTGGATTGAATTGATTAGTTGCCTCCGGCAACTCCCGGAGGCCGTGGGAATGAACTAACGGTCGTTATACTGCCGTTTTCCATTCAATAGTCCACGTGACGAATTTCGGTTCCGCGCTCGCTCGTTGCGCGAAGGCAAGCCCGGCGAAGAACAGCTCATATCTCTGCAACCAGATGAGCTAGGGACTTGCGGTTTCTTTTAAAATGCATGTATTTTACTCCTACAGATTAATTAGCCACCGATAATCCTAATTCTCGTTTTTTATAAATTCACATTTGTCACAATCCCCCCCATTTTTCTCAACAACGGCTGGATGGAAAGAGGTGAAAATTAGGCAGTAGGTAGTTCTTGTAAATATCTCGAACCCATTTTTTTTCTAATTGATAGGACTTTTTCTCGTTTCTTAATCAGGTTATGTGCCATTCCGGTGACTCACACAGTCCCCCCCACTTTCCTCAACAACTACTGAGTGAAACAGGATAAAAGTCGCGCAGTGAGTAGTTCTTCCATATGTCTCAAACACATTTTTTTTTTCTGATTGATAAGATTTTTTTCGTTTTTTAATTAGGGTGGGTGTTCAAGACCATGCTCAATGTAGCTTGACACCGTCCCCCCTGATTTCCTCGACAACGGGAGGGTGCAGCGCAGTGAAAGTCAGACAGTAAGTTCTTCTGGTATTTATCTCAAACCCTTTTTTTTTTTTCTAATCGATAGGATTTTTTTTCGTTTTTTAATTGGGTTCTGTCTTCATTGCGGGCTCACCTCAGGTTTGATGGCTTTTCCTCAACAATGGATGGTGGAATGGGATGAAAGTTAAAAAACGAAAAAAAATCCTATCGATTAAAAAAAAAAAATGGGTTTGAGATAAATACCAGAAGAACTTACTGTCTGACTTTCACTGCACTGCACCCTCCCGTTGTCGAGGAAATCAGGGGGGACAGTGTCAAGCTACATTGAGCATGGTCTTGAACACCCACCCTAATTAAAAAACGAAAAAAAATCTTATCAATTAGAAAAAAAAAGGTGTTTGAGACATATGGAAGAACTACTCACTGCGTGACTTTTATCCTGTTTCACTCAGTAGTTGTTGAGGAAAGTGGGGGGGACTGTGTGAGTCACCGGAATGGCACATAACCTGATTAAGAAACGAGAAAAAGTCCTATCAATTAGAAAAAAAAATGGGTTCGAGATATTTACAAGAACTACCTACTGCCTAATTTTCACCTCTTTCCATCCAGCCGTTGTTGAGAAAAATGGGGGGGATTGTGACAAATGTGAATTTATAAAAAACGAGAATTAGGATTATCGGTGGCTAATTAATCTGTAGGAGTAAAATACATGCATTTTAAAAGAAACCACAAGTCCCTAGCTCATCTGGTTGCAGAGATATGAGCTGTTCTTTGCCGGGCTTGCCTTCGCGCAACGAGCGAGCGCGGAACCGAAATTCGTCACGTGGACTATTGAATGGAAAACGGCAGTACTACAGTGACCATATGAGACCGTAGTCATTTCCAAACGTCATCGCAGCGTTAGGCTCAATCACGGGACGTCCCCAAAGATGTAACCAGGTGTGCATTGGATTTCGCTCTTCGTAGACCGACTTTCGTTGACGGCGCCCCAAATGGTAATGGATCACTTCTACTGAACCCTGACATGTTCTAAGACGGCAAGCGAAGACTGAAGACTTGCTTTAGCAAACAGCTGGTGCATAGCAACCCACTCCGAGCCCGAAAACCCAGGGGTCAGAATGAGCGCTTCAAGGAGGGACCCGTAACGAACTCATGTGCCACACAGATTACCGGAGTGGAAGTGGGACACATATATGGTCTTGTAACGAATGACGGGGATATTGCAAGCGCATGAGCCAGAGGGGATTTGAGAACACAAACCACAGGTGGTGGTGGTGATATGCAATATATCGGATCGACCGGAGCATGGGAGGAACGCAAGGCGGGGGATGAGTCTTGTGAATTGCATAACTCAAATTGAGCGCGGTGTCAGACGCCTTCACAGTGCGTTTGCTCTCAATCCCAGACTCTGATAATGGGATGTGGTCCAAGTCGAATTTCGAGGCTGGTTCTCGAGTTGCCCTGTTTGAGAGTAGCATGACGCCAGTAGCTTGATGAATCAACCCCCCTGTGGCTTGTGTTTTTTTATTTTTCTGACAGTGCTTCCACACGTGGAACTCTATATATTATTTATTTGTCATAGAGGCAGGAGTCCTGCTTAACGTGGAACGAAAGTACTTATGATACATTTCCGCGCGCGCGCGTGACAGTACATATGTAAATCTCTCACCAGAAACTATATATATGCCATACGGAGGCTGCCTCAGCCTATCGCTGGAAGGGGGACTGGCTCGGCAGCCAGAGGTTTCCCAAAGCGTCCGAACGCAAAGCGGTGCATGTTCCCTGCTTCTGGTCTGTTGAACTCCCTAATATAAGTAATCGCACATTTCCCCTCAGTTGATGCCCGAGAGTGGACCTGCAGTGAGACGTTGGATGATCAATTTACTGGCAATACAGCAAGCGTCAAAAAAAACGACGTGCGTCCGAATTGGATGAATGGCCCAGCTAATTGACTATTTAGAAAATCAGTGGGCGCTTCAATGTCGGATGATTACATGGTCTTCGGGGCAATTCATCCAAATCGAGCGGCGCGTACAAATCCTGAGCCATCCCATTGACCCGACATTTTCCTTACTTCTCATGCAGTGACCACCTCCATCCCCCGGTGTATAGATGGAACTGCCACGATCATCGCGAGGCCGCAGGTTATCAACACAGAATTAACTAGATGTTTCCTAAAATGTCTGGAAGCTGGCTCTTGCTCCTCGCTTCCAAGGTCAGGGCGGCGCCATTCTAGTGTCTGAGAATGTGCTGGATTTGAATTTTGGAATCTTCAAGAACGTCTTTCCCCTTCAACTTTGCGCTGCCTGCCCTTGACTTTCCTCCCCCCCCCCCACCTCCATAACTTCTGTTGTGGACTTTAACTATCATCCCCCTCAGGGGCAAGCAAATAACAAACACACCGATGGCGAAACACTTGTTCTTCCTCTGGGCCCTTCGCGCCCTTCTCTTCGCGGCCAGCGCTTGGGTTAGTTTGGCGTGTTCAATGACTTACCCAAGTGCGCCGGATGGGATTACGGATAACCTTTACTTCCCAATTTCCTGGACAGGCTGTGTCGTGAGTCCCGTGTGTCGGCTGCAGGGAGTTCGACTGACTCTGGCTCTTCCAAACCATATACCGTATGGGCGCATTACCGTGTCCCAAACCGGTGGCACGCAACACGTTTTGTTCTCTGGTGCAGACCCCCGTTACGGTTCAAGTTTTATTGCTACCAGGTAGCAAGATATTGGCGGTGTATCAAGGCTCGGTAGCCGATCTGAGCTTGTGCGTGATGGGTCCTGGTATCATCCCGGATGATATCCACAATCGGATACCATACTTATGCTACTCGCATCGCTAGCTATGTCAATCATTGTGCAGGACGCGGGGTGTACATATTTCTAACTGACGCTGCCGGGTCGAGTGTGACAAGCCCTACATATATAGTCCTGGTTCGCAAGCTACACGTGTCCCACTTTCCCGCCGTTGTCTGACAAAGCGTTTTTTTTTCTAACTCGATACCATAGCCGAACCCAACTGATACTCTCGCGATTGCTTCCGTGCGTATTAAGACCCGGGGCCGGTGAAGCCACAGCATTTTTAACGATCTGTCCTCTAGATTTCTTCGCTTTCTCTTCAATCCCTGTTGGTTAGTAGTTCTCAGCTTCGTTTTCTTCGATGGGGCTTACACCGTTGGGTTTCCCGCCTTTCTTGCGTTTGAAATAGTCTGTGACTACCACAACAAGCTCATCCACAACCCATTTTGCATCCAGCTCATACATAAGCACCACTTCCAGTTCGCCTCCGTCATCTACATCTACATCTACATCCTCATCCTCATCCTCATCTACATCTACATCTACATCTACATCTTCATCCTCATCCTCATCCTCATCTCCACCTCCTTCACACAGCAGCCCTCTTTCCACAGGAGCTATAGTCGGTATTGTTATTGGAGCGGTCTCTGCACTAGCCGCGGTGGTAGCTATCCTCGTTCGGACTGTTAAGGGTGGCGGGGACATCACTTTTAATCTCATTCATTGTGGTAACTGAAGTAAACTGTGTTGCTCGCAATGAACCCTGCACTGTGTCATTCAGACTTAGGGCAGCGATGTGTTTTGCTTGTGCCCCTTTATTAATTTTTCTTTTCTCTTGTCTTGTTTTCACCGGAAGTGGGTGGTATTTGATCCATTGATACTTGTCGACCGATTTTCCGATTTCCTTTGACCGAGGGGCAACTCATTCTCGATCGTCAACAGCAGAGCGTGGGAATGCCACTTATTGAAGGGATGGGGAATAACAGGCTCATGAAAAGTTTGACAGCACAAAGCAAGACCAACATAATCATTCACAGGAGGCAGTAGCCTTGAAGGAGCAGCAAGGCTTGTGGATTTGAGGTGAAGGCAACATTCATTGGACCGTTTTGTATATGATTTGGACCAGGGGGTGGATGGATCGCCGTCCACTTTGCTCGCGAGTAATTTCGGGAATGGGTGATGGCAAGCTCTGAGTGGGGCCCACCAACATCCTTCCCCAGAGCGCAGGACATGCAGAATGGAGAGTCAACATGCATCATGAGCGTAGCGAAGCGGTTGGGGCAGGCAGAAACATCATCCGGTAGGCGAGAGATAAGAACGGATAGAGGCTAAATTCACACCACCTGGAGGTAGGGGAGATAAGCCGACAAACAGAAACATCTCGCTTTAAGACCAGACTCTGTGGTGACATTTGCAGCAAGTGGGACTATGTGAGACCGCAGTGAACTTTGGCCATTTCCAAACGTCATCGCAGCGTTAGGCTCAATCACGGGACGCCCCCCCCCCCCAAAGGTGTAACCAGAGGTGTGCATTGAATGTTGAGGGTTCGTCAATCCACCACCTTAAGTCCCCAATGGCCGAATAAACACAAGCTCGTTCACTTTTTGTAGACCGACTTTCGTTGACGGCGCCCCAAATGGTGATGGATCACTTCTACTGAACCCTAAGACGGCAAGCGAAGTCCCGCCTTAGCCAACAGGTGGGTAGAAACAACTTACAGCAACACTCAGAATAAGAGGGCTGACTGAATGGATGGTAGGGTGCTACTTGGCTGCAAAACGGTAGTGACTAGCTCCTTGCGATGGGATGGCCGTCCGACCATATCCACCGATTCGGTGGTGCCTGCGTTGATAACAACCTGGACGTCTGCCGCTGTTCACTTTACGGACAGATGAGATCTGGTCAAGGGCGCGCTCTATCGATCATCAGTGCCGATCGTTCCAAAGGAAGCAGCCGTAGATCGAAGGAAGGGAGAGGGGTTAAAGAAACAGGCAACTAATTGTAGAGCGGAACTCTCCGGGGTTCCGCCGTGAAGGCATTACTGCAAGTTGCTAGTCTTAGGTTGCCTCTACCACTATGGGATTGAGCAGAGGTGCACCTGGCCTCGGCGCTTCGTGATGCCTGTTGCATGCTGTATCATCCGATTGCCCAGTAGCACGGCACCTCCCCGACAAGCTGCTCTCCCCTCTCGCAGACAGTTCTTATAAGCTTCAGATGACCAGCCTCTATTACGTTTTGCTTACGTCATGGGATCGGTACTAACACAAATGCTAGGCAGTTCTGGGTCCAAAGTGACAAGTGGCCCAACGGTGGTGCAGGCCCGTGGGCTGTTTTCCCTGTGTTTGTGCCATTGTCTCAAACAGTGTTGCACAAGACCAAGTCAGACTCGTGGTCACGGGGACTCTGAGTCAGATTGAGTCCGGACTGGGTGTCTCGGTCCGTCAGGTCTGAACTAACGGACTTATAACGGACTAACGGATTTAGCTACAAGCGCTTAACGTGTCACCGCAAACATTCCACCCTGCCACCGTCTCTAAGCTCCCATCTAGGTCTAAGTTCCTCTCTCGTGTTAAGAGGTCTTCCATCTCTGTTTCTAGCACTAAGTTCCGCTCACCCTGGATCCAGTAAAGGTCCCACATTGAATCTCGCGTCAAGTTGAAAATATCTCGTACCCTTTTCCCCTGCAAACTTACACCCTAACGGCAGGCTGTAAATAGATACTTTGGGAGGAATGGAAAATATAACTTACTTGGGGGGATCTTGATGGTAGACTCCGCGCAAAATTCATTTCAGATTGTTCTGCATTGTAGTCACTGGTGAGGTCTTGAAGAAGATTGGCACGGAAAGGATGGTAGCCATGGTTTATGTCATCAGGAATGCAGGAGGGATGTCCATGCTCGGGCTCCAAATGGCCCCCAGAGGGGTCACGGTCGCTAGTGGAAGGAGCAAGTCCGAATGAACGACGGATTCTCTTCCTATGTGAACCATCGACTGCATGTTGGTGGTTGAGGTCTAGTTTGATAGATGAGATTTTCACCATCTTCTCAACAGATAGTCGATTGCGTGCGGGGTTCTTTGTGTCCCCAGTGATAGAGAAGAAGCACTCCGAATCAGCTGAATTACAAACAAATGAGAAGATGAGAATAGCGAGTCATGCCAGTGGGTCTGTCAGGGCAATAGCCCCGAACCCCGAGTCATATGTAAATTAGATACATATAGTCACGTGGGTAAGCGGAAACCTCCGGGTAACTGCTTACACACCACCGTAAAATACACATACTTGTATCACTTACGGCTTTGTGTGCTGAGCTACCCAAAGACCTCACACTTTTTTAAGTGTATGAGGTGTGTTTTACAACACAACCCACAACAACTACATAATCTTAACATCTGACTCGGAAGCGCCTATGGCGCCTAAACACGCCTGCAAGGGCAAAGTCGCATCTGCAGCGACACTAAAAAGAAATGAGCGGTTCATTAAGAAACCGCAATCTCCCATCATGGGAGATTCAAACCAAAAGCTGTCGTCAGACGACGACGAGGATCAATGTCACGACCATGCATCCCAGCCCGTTAGCCGCCCGTCCCGATGCCGCCCGAGCCCATTCCCGCTATGCGAGCGCGAGCGCGAGCCCCGACCTCAGCCCTATCCTCCATGAGGACTCCCTGCTCACTTCCCCGCTTGCCCCTAGGCTCCCCTGCACCTGGCCGACTCCCCCACAGCCACACCGACCTCCCTGCCCTGAGTCCGCCTCTGGCACCAACCTAGCGTGACTCTGCGACATCGCCTCCTCTGCTATGATACCATCGCCGCTATCGCGGCCCTACACCCCTTCTTTTATTTATCTGTTATTGTTTGTTTTGACCCTCGGTCATTGCCGGCCACTGCGCGGCCAAACCCGCTCTTTGTTCCTATTTGCTTCCGGACCCTTCGGCCTTCGGCCCGGGTCCGCTTCTATTCATTCTATCTTCATATATATATCCTGTATACTACATTATAGTACCTCAGCTCTAATATCGATGTGACCACGACCCCTAAGTCCTGACCCCAACAAGGCAACCCCAGTGAGTCCGAAATGAGGGCCAAGAGACAGCTAGGGGGCACAGCACTCCCTTTAGAGTTGCTGAGGCCAAATGCCCTACCCTTGGGCCTTGTCTGAGGCATCGCGGCCATCGCGGCCAATAGCGGCCCGCATCGGCGACCTTCGGTGCCGACCCCGGATCAGTGTCTAACAATCAACATGATCCGGCATTAGCAACCACCTCAGGGCTGGTCCCTGAAGGTTTTAGAAACTTACGTGGAGTAAGTGCGGGGCCAAATACCCCCAGAACTCCATGAAATACCGATCTAACCCAAGCTGGGGAAGATCCCTCACCTCCTCACGAGGTGATCGACTTGCATGAAAAACGCGTAAGCGCCAAACGATCAGCCCAAAAAGCTGATCGGATAGAGTTGCAGGAAACTCCAGGGCCCCACTATCCCCTGGAGTCCCCCTCACGTCCCCAAGTCAAGCCCCAAAGGCAGACAAAGGGAAACAAAGGGAAGAGCCCCTGTGTCGGCTATCCAAAAAACTACTGGACTTGTTCCAGGTTCCGTCTGAATGGAGGACGGAAAGTGAAGACCAACTTCTTCTCAGGCTAAAAGCCCGAGAAGGTGCGAAGATACGCCCTGAGAGCAGGATCTCCCAGAGCGCGGAAGCTCCAAAAGAACTTCCGCTGTTTACACTCCCACACACCATGCCAGACAAGGCAAGGTTGCCAACCTCGGAGGAGGTCTCCGAGATAATGAAGAGGAGGCGAACTGAAATGAGGGAGTTTGCTGAGGAAGCCTTACGCAAAAGTAAGGAAAAACCAGCGAACAGACCCCTCTATGAAAGGGAAGCACCCTCCGCAACGGCCTCGCCTAAACAAAGCGAGTGTGGAGTGTTCACTCCAAGAACCCATTCTGGAACCCCCAGAAGCGGAAATGTCAACTGGGGAGAGTCTCTGCTCGCCCAACCAAACTTCCTCCTGGAAAACCAGGAATCACGCATAATAAACGCGATAAACTCGATCCAAAAAAAGATCGAGGAAACGAACCATAATAGTACGGCTCGTCTAGAGATAACTCTAGAAAGAATGGCCAACGCAATCGATGCATTGACTGAAAAAATCAGCGAACAAACAAACTTGCTGAAGGAAATAAATTTCTCACAGAAGAGTGAGGAAACAAATAAACACCCCTGGACCACGGTCCAGGACATAAATAGAACTCGTGAAAAATTCATGAAAAGAACCACCAGTGAAAGCACACTGGAATATCATCAGTGACTTGACAGAGACGCTAAGGAGATCCTTCTCCCAAGGATAGGAGAAGACGATGCCGAAAGAAGGCATCGTTCAGAGATTAGGAGGAGAATTGGCACGTACCAAAGGTTTGGCCAAACATCCACTTATGACGGACCTCTCGAACAGAGAGGTAACTCAATTGCACCCTCTCAAAACAATGAGAGAATACAAATACAACTTCAGGCGAATTCGCCTGAAACCAAAGAAATGCTGCAAGGAAGATTTCCCCCAGCAAAAACCCCCCAAAGGAGAGATCTCCATTGGATAGCGACCCCGCAAAGGCAGGGGAGCAAGAAGAGTACCTGGAGAAATGGTACGAAAAGGCCATAAGAATGGCCGAAGTGAGAATACTCACTCCCTACCCGGAAGGAGTGAAGCCTGAAGCCCTAAAGAATGGGCTGGCATTCCCTGACAAGAAATGGTCAGGGGAGAACGACATGGAATCGTTCTGGCAGTGGTTCACAGAACTACTGGGATTCCTCGCCTCGCGAGGATGCAAAGGTCCCCAATTCGACGAAGTCCACCTGGACTGCTTGATTTGTGGATTAGGGGGGCCCACGTTCGACCTTGGAATTAGACTCCGAGACGAAACTCTCCTCAGAGGAGACGAGGGCATGTTCCTCGAAGTTCTCAACATATTGATGAGAACT